GGGTTGTGAAAGGTGAGGGAAGTCTTCTTTGCTGCAGGGTGGATGATGCTGTGTCTGAGACTGATTTTAGAATCATTGCCTCCCACAAAGGCTCTATCTCTAGTGCCAGCCAGGACCACAGAAGGAGATTCTGATACTTCCTGGCATTCAGGAGGGTGGAGAGGGGTTGCTGTGACCCTTCCGTGTGGTCTGTGACCTGCTTTCTGTCCCGAGCTGTCCTCGCAGGATGCTGTCCTCCCAGGATGCTGTCCTCCCAGGATGGCTGTACTCTGATTTGCAGGAGCACAGGAAGGGGTGGCTCTTTGCATCCTGCCTTTGTTTGCCACCTGCCTCCCTGACTTTTGTCAGGGTCCTGAGGATTTCTTTCCCACGGGTATAGCATGTTACATACTAGAGATAAAATTCTATTGCACTTTGGGAAGGATTTTATGATATAATATGGTGTAGTAAAGCTAGAACAGACTTTGGAGATCAACACAAGAGGCTTAGAATTCTGGTTCTGGGATACAGTATTGATATTCTGGGAGCTCAGTGGTTAAATCATAATGACACCTTTGGGGGAAATTGCGTCCCTTAAATAAAATAGCACTTGGGAAGAACATGGTAGCCTGCTTGGCACATAATAGTCCTGCAATAAACAGTAATTATTATACATGTGGTTATTGTTCTTGGAAAATACCTGTCTCCCTGGCTCAGTGCCTGTAGCTCAGTGGCTAGGATACTGGCCACATCACCGGGGCTGGTGAGTTCAAACCTGGCCCAGATCCGCCAAACAATAATAACTACAACCAAAAATACATTGTGAAGGGCGCCTGTAGTCCCAGCTACTTAGGAGGCTGAGGCAAGAGAATTGCTTGAGCCCAAGAGTTTGAGGTTGCTGTGAGCTGTGACACCACAGTGCTCTACCGAGGGCGACATAGTGACACTCTGTCTGAAAGAAAAAAAAAAGAAAAGAAAATACCTGTCCCTTCTTAGCAGTTATAAATAAACATGCTTCTTTCCCTGCCCCCTCTGCTTCCCCACTGCCACATCCCTAGTTCGGGCCTTAGCCTCATCTCCCAAGTGGACTAGTGTGGCAGCTGCTTATGGGAACTTTGTGCCTATTCCTGTCTCCCTGTAATTCATTGTCCATTTAAATGCCAGAATGGTTTTGCAAAATGTGTATAAATCAATCACATAATTCTCTTACTTCAACCCCCCAGTGGCCTCTCAATGATTCTGGGATACAATTCAAACTTCTTCCCATGGTCCACAAGCAAAGGCAGAACTAGATGAAACATCAGGGAACACACACAGGGAACACAGTTCACCTTGACCTCTGTGTTCACCGGCAAGGCTGCCCAGCAAAGCACCACGTACTGGGTGGTTTCATCACAAAGCATTTATTTCTTCACAGTTCTGGAGGCATCAAAGTGTCAGCAGGTTTAGTTTCTTCCGAGCCCTCTGTCCTTGGTCTGTGAATGGCCGTCTCCTCTCCGTCTTCCCCTGGTCTTCCCTGTATGAGTGTCTGTGTCCTGGTCTCTTCTTACAAGGATCCCTGTTAGGAGGAGGGCCCACTCCACTGATCTGTTTTAACTCAATTACCTCTGTAAGATCCTGCTTTCAAAATATGTTTCTTAAAAAATGCGGCTTTTGAGAGTATGAACTCAGGGGTAGGTGTTTTGTCCGCTGTACCCTAGTTTTCATCCTGTTTTTTTTTAGCTTTGATTTCTTATCATTCTCTTTCTTTTTTGCCTTGCATTAGCCCCACTGGCCACTTTTCACATCTTTGAATATGATAAGCCTTTTTCCTGCCTCTGACTGTTTCCCCATTCAGTTCTGTTCTTTCTGTCTGGAATCCAGTTCTTCACCTCTTCCAATGCTTCACAAAGTGAGCACTCTTTAAATTTCAGTTTAAAACTCATTGCTTTCAGGAAGCAGCTCTGACCACAAATCTCGAGTAGCCTTCCCAGTCCCTCACTTTCTTACCAACCATGTTTTCACAGAAATGATAGCATTCTGAATGACCCAATGGCATGTTAACTGCTGAGGCTGGAAACTGTTTACCACGCTGCTGTCAGGCCTAGCTTGGAACCTGGCACACAACCGGTGCTCACTCAGTGAGTGTTTATTGAAAGAGTGTTCCAGTGAAATTAATCACATGCTTTTATTAATAGAATCTTACTCAATCTCAGAGATCCATGGGATAACATAAGGCAGATACTGAATAATAGCACAAACACTGAGGTTATAATTCTGAACATGAAACATTTTCAAGAATTACCGAGAAAGTATCATGTTATGTAAGAAGCTGAAAATTCTTATTATTGTCATGGAATCATTATCAGAATTGGCATATTTCCACTCCTTAACATAAATTCATAAAGGAAAATGCCATTGGACTAATTCCCCCCTCTCCTAAACTTCCATTCTCTTGGAATACCTGTGGTATTTATATTTCATAGGACAGTGTTATAAGTCCTATTCTGAGAAACAAATGAACATTGTCAACTGAAGTGAACAGTTTTACCTAGGAATTCCTTAGAAATGCAAATTGGCCCCATACCTTATGACTAATACTAACTCAAGAAATCTGAGCGTGGGGTCCAGCAAATTGTGCTTTAACAAGCCTTCCAGGTGATTCTGATGTGAGAACTGAACTAAACTGATCTTCAAAGTCACTTTTGATTTCGCAAAGAGTTTGTGAAATAGTCCAGTTGTCTAGACATAATCCACCTTAGTTGTTCTCAATCACTTATCTCCCCCTGCCCTGACTTGCAATGACATAGTGTTTCTGCTTTGTAATATTTTTGCAATTGTTCTTAAGAAACTAGCATGGTGAATTCTCCTCTCTTGGAGCTATTTAAGTGAAATGTTCATCTTCCAGGGTTCGACACGCATTACTTGCTCCCTGCATTACCTAACTGTTTCTATAAAAACTTAGCTTGAATGCGCATATCCTACCATGCTATTATTGTTTCCAATTTCTCCTTCAAATAAAAATTTAATTAATGTTTCTGCTTTCTAAAGATGTAGTTTTTTCAAAATTAAAACTCATGATAGATCAGCCTTATCTCGATTTTTTTGCTCTTACTGTACTGCCAAAGGCCAGGTTTTCCTTAGGAAGCATATTCAATAAAGAATTTTCTCATTCTCCCTCAAGCTATTTTTTCTTTACATGGCTCTGTCTTCAGTCTTTAAGTAAGAAATATCCTGATTCATTTGTTTGAGGATACCTGTAGCACTAGGTCATTAAGTGATAACAACTGTGCTTTATCTCTTTTGGCGTAAATCCAATTATCCAATGAATATCCATGAAAGATTGTTTTATCTTAATAGCAGACGTTGTTCTTTCCAGCTATGAAAGTATCTAGCTCACACGGGGGGACTATAAACCATTGTTCAAGGAACTGATGAGCAAGGAAGTAATATTTTTTGTAGTTTTATTAGTAATAAAATGATATGTTATCTATAGTGATAACTACTATCATTAATGAACACATTATGTTCTAGAAATTAGTACAAGTGATTTATATATTTTAACTCAGTTAATGTTCATTAAAATCTCTTTCTATGCATACATGTGAGTTGGCCAAGATCACACAGGCTGGATGTTAGAAGCAAACTTGAACTCCTGAATTCCTCTAGGATTGTATTCAGCCCAGACTGTGTTCCTTTGTGATAAACCATTGTCAGGCATGTTGTCCTTGTGCTCCCGCCTTTCAGATCCTCGTACTTCTTTTCTAAACTAGTCTTATGTAGACACTGGAAAGAATCTAATTACTGGCCATCATCAGAAGCAGAAGGAAATGCAGATGAAGTAAGTGTTTAATACTTATTGGGGTTAACACAAGCGGAGAGGAATTCAGGAGTTCAAATTTGCTTCTAATATCCGGTTTGTATGATCTTGGCCAAATCACTTGTCCTCATAGAAAGAGATTTTAATGAGTACTAACTGAGATAATATATGCAAATCACTTGTCCAGGCTTCTAGAAGTGTGCATTAATGATAGTACTTATACTAGATAATATAACATTTTATTCCTAATGAAACTACAATAATTATTGCTCCCTAACAGAGAGAGTTTTGAGTATCTTACTTTAGCAAATTATGTATTTATTTATTTTTTGAGACAGAGTCTCACTTTGTCACCCTCAGTAGAGTGCTGTGGTATCGCAGCACACAGCAACCTTAAACTCTTGGGCTCAAGCAATTCTCTCGTCTCAGCCTCCCAAGTAGCTGGGACTATAGGCGTCTGCAGCAACACCTGGCTATTTTTAGAGATGAGGTCTCACTCTTGCTCAGTTTGGGCTCAAACTCATGAGTTCAGGTGATCCACTCTCCTTGGCCTCCCAGAGTGCTTATTTCAGCAAAAATTTAATTGGCTCTCTATCGAAATCTTATCTGATAGGCGTGGTTGCCGCTGAGTTAAATAACTCGTCCAAATCATACAGCCGATAGGTGTCGGTGTCACTAGCTACCATGCTAGCCACCGAGCTCGAAGAAGTGTGACTTCAGGGGAGTTTGTCTTTGATCTCAATTACCACCAGTTGGTTTGACATGAATCATTTTTAAAAGTTATTTACCAGCATCTTCAACTCTCCGAAGACAAATTCCTTACAGACATTGTGGTTTTCCAGTGGCCATGTTTCGTCTTTGTAATAGCTCACTTTGTATAGGCCCGTCAGGTGATGGATTATAAAAAAATTGCAGAGATTAAAAAGTTTAGTGCCCCTGCATTGCCTATTGTCACAGTGCCTCGGGGTGGTGTGTCTTTGAGAAACGAGGTTTCTGGTGAGCGATGAGGCTTCTTTTTGCCTGTAAGTCAACATCATTGTCTGGTTTTATTGTTCCTTTGTCTACATTTTTTTCTGTAGAGATTCATTATCTCCATTGAAAACTTAAGGTGCGTGTAAAAACATAATACGTTGTATCTGTCTTGACCCTTTAATTCTCAAACCCTCATAGCTTGTAAGATTGGTAATTATTTTTTCACGCTTTCTTACTTCATACCTACTAGGTCCTGTTACAGAAGTGAAAACTGACATCTATGTCACCAGCTTTGGACCTGTTTCTGATGTTGAAATGGTAGGTGTTTGCAAAATTAAATCTCCCCTTTGAGGTTCGAAGAAAACATGTAGAAAGACAGCATGTGAGACTTATTTCAATGTCAATCACATAACTCGATAATGCCAAAGAATGGCCCAATTAAACTTAAAGGTATATTTAAAGAGTAAGATATTGAATTTTTATTTCAGCCTTCCTATGTGAGCATTTGTTGATTTGGTATCAGTTTGAACAGAGAAGAACATTTCTATTACTGGTCCCCATAGTACAACCTGTGGGTGGGTTTTTAATTTTTGTTTTTAACCTTGGGAAACTACTGAGGAGGAGAAAATTAGAAATTATGATTCACAGAAAGAATCTCTTCATCTGTGCTATCTTATATTAAATATATTTACTTTGCATGACAGAGAAACAACTTTATTCCTTGACCCCAAGCTCCTAGCAGTTTGAAACTCTTGGGTTATTTGTCTTATTTTAATAAATTTTATGGAAAGAAAATTTGTCTTTTCCAAATTTTACTCTGTCTTTTTAAAAAGCCTACAATTTTATGAATAATCGTGCAATAATATGTGTTACACATTAATTTGCTTTTTTCTGTCTGGTTACAAGTTAAACACAATTGCAATTACCTGGTGCTGGCAGTTTTATTAAATTGCAGTTGTTTATTCTTAAATGATCAATATGTGTGGTAATTTATTTCTCTTAGGAATGTAGAAGGCGAGGTGTCCAGAGGGACATAAACGCTCTCATTGCTGAGAATGTCTTTGCTCCTCTAATTTAAGATCATTTCTGATCCTATGAATTTTATTTAGGGTGGTCTTTTTTTATGAGTGGGGAGATAGATTCATAAAAATGCATTTTTCTGCTTGCTCATGATGAGTTGTCATTTGTGATTTAACGTATCTCCAACTAATTTGCACAGGAATACACAATGGATGTGTTCTTCAGACAGACATGGATTGACAAAAGACTCAAGTATGATGGCCCCATTGAAATTTTAAGATTGAACAATATGATGGTAACAAAAGTGTGGACCCCAGATACTTTCTTCAGGAATGGAAAGAAATCCGTTTCCCATAATATGACGGCTCCAAATAAGCTGTTCAGAATTATGAGAAATGGCACGATTTTATACACAATGAGGTAACTGGGTACTTTTCTTCTTCCATTTTAATCCTTTTTTCCTTTCTTCCTTTGCTCTCTTCCTCCTTCCGTACCTCCCTCCCTCCTTCCCTTCCATTTTAGAATCTATAAAATTATTATTAAGTAAAGGTCGGTTTTATTTAATTGCATTTTTCATCATAGACTCACCATAAATGCGGAGTGTCCCATGAGATTGGTGGATTTCCCCATGGATGGCCATGCGTGCCCTTTGAAATTTGGGAGTTGTAAGTTATGATCAAATGTTGTTAAAATTCATGATCACGTCATCAAACCTGATATTCATACATGACTTTTTCCTAGTCCAACATTTAAATTGTTGTCTATGACAAAAACTGTTCAGAGTTTGAGTTTTAGGAGAATGTTTATGGACTTATAATTTAAAGTAAAGAGATAAAAACAACCCTCTTCCCCCCCACACACAAAAAAGCCTTTTTATACAGATAGTCTAGATAGTTTTAGTCATAATTAATTGGTTGATAATCATTGGTGAAATTTAGGGACCTCTGAACTCTACATGTTATTTGCGTGACATAGAAAGTACAAAACCTGTATACATACGCACATAAATATATGTGTGTGTGTATATATATATGTAGATATTTGTGTATATATAATTTATCAGTTTCTGTTGCAAGCAGAGTCATTCATAGCAGGCTTGGAAGAATTCCAAAGAAAGTCCAGGGCATAGGTTAAAATAACAAAAGTAGCACTGTTGGCATAAAAATGGCTAAAACGATAAAAGCATGGTAGGAGACACGATCTGAGATATGTAGTGTCCTATAGATCGCACGAAGGAAGCTTTCTCAAAAGGGTATTTTTTTTTTTTTTTTTAATTAACATCTTACAATTTTGCCCTACCTTTTCTGTCGCGAAAGGCTTGGAGAGAGGCTAGAGTAGAAGAGTTGAAGGTTATTGTTTTAATACAAGCCAGGAGGGTTAGACTGGGATGGTACCAGAGGAGAAAGCTTGAGACTATAGATGAATTTTGGGAAATGTGTAGAGTTGAAGGCCCGAGGATGAAATGAATGGATAAGAGAGAATGTAAGCTTTCTTTCCTCAAGCTCCCTCCTCAGAGATGGCAGCAAATGTGTTTGCCTTTCTAAGGCCTTCCTCATATTTTGAATTCAATCAGAATCTACCCAAAATAGATGCTGGCTTGTACTATTGCCTCAGAGTCTTAGTCTCACTGATTGTGAAACTGCTGCCTGCTGCTCTCATTGCTCACTGCTTCGCTTAATGAGATTCGGCAGTCACCATTCTTTTTATAACCCCTTGTAATCACAATATTCAGTGGGCTCACTGGAAGCCAGAGAGAGCCATTTGTTCCCTGACCAATGTTTTAATGAAAGAAGGAAAAAGAAAAAGAAAAACCCAGAAGAAATACATCAAAGGGTGATCTCATTGGGGCCAGAATTAAAATCCATTTGTGCTGTAATCGTTTAAATTTCACTGAGATAGTTCTTATCTAGAGAAAGTCCTTTCCACCCCCTACTTCCCTCCAGTTCTGATGGAAAATATTCTTCTAGGAGACTGAACAGAGTTGGTGTTTAATCAGGGCTTGTATAGCTTAACGACATCACACCTTGGAAGCTGATGCTTTCAGATTGAAAATTAAAGAGAGACACATCATACTCAGCAAGCAAGGATTCTTAAATGCTTTGTAAAGAGAAAAAGCACCATATAACTCAGTTTATAATTCAGAGAAATGAGAGAACCAGGAAAGAAGACGGCTATTCCAGCAAGGTAGTATAGCCAAGAGAGAGATACCTTGTCAGAAATAGCATAGTTAAAAACATAGCACGCATGGGGCTTTAAGGATCTGATGAAGTGTGAATATATTTCTGGAGACAAATACTGACTTGCAATTGTATGATGCTAAGTGACACCCACCTTCCCAGTGTGTTCCTTAGATATCAACTCCTTCTGTAGACTTAGTTCCATCAAAGACCTATTGTGATCTCGCCATTTTAGGAAGGTTTGCGGGGTGAGGGGAGAGTTGGGGTTGGGGGCATACAATTTATTTTGGTTGTTTTGAACTTAGATGTGAATCAGCCAAGCTGTCTGTTCTGGGTAGACTGGTAGGCAAGCAGCTGGTCTCCATTTGCACTGAATGCCCAATAATAGAAAATAGGCTTAAATTGCCAGTAGGAGGGATTTGTTGTGATGGCAGGGAAATGTCCTGACTGTAAGAGTTTAAAGGTAGTGGAACTGGTTGTATAATTATATTCCCCAGAAAGCTTTACAAACGGTGGAGTAGTGGTCACTGTAGGATGGGTTTCCCAAATAGAGTGGCGATAGCCTTGGACCAGAGTCTGGGTGACCCCTGGAGAGCCCTCCCAACAATAGCATGTGTTTGTTTTTATTACAGGCAGCATTTGGTACATTTCTAAATAGCAGAGCTGCATTAGGGCAGAAGTTAGTATTGGCCAAGCACTGGAAGTGAGTTAGAAATGAAAGAATTAGGAGTTCAGCAGTATCACTGTGGGGGTTTAATATGCCTGCTTTTCAGCAGCTTATCCCGTTTGCCTGGAAACAGCCAAGTGCACTGACGCATGGGTAGCGTTTCTAAGGCTGAGGTTTTAGTCTCTCCTCCCCCAATCTTTGGTGTAAAAGCAATAAATCCCATTGAGTTGCAAGACTATTTAATTTCTACAGTTTCTAAATCCTAAACATGGTCGACTCCATCATGGTGGACACTGATTGTTTGCATTTATTCCGTCTTAAATGTTGACCACCCGCGTGGGTGAAAAGGGAAAACAGCCTCTAACCACATTCTGTGCTCTCATTCAGATGCATATCCGAAGAGTGAGATGATCTATACCTGGACAAAAGGTCCTGAGAAATCAGTTGAAGTTCCAAAGGAGTCTTCCAGCTTAGTTCAGTATGACTTGATTGGGCAAACCGTATCAAGTGAAACTATCAAATCGATTACGGGTGAGATGATTAATGATTAAAGTCAGTAGGCTGCCTGGCATTAGCAATGGAGTTTAGTCCTAACTTTTTCACTGAAAAATCTATTGTTTTCAGGGAACAACAAAAATTTTCCAGTAATAGATTTGATGTATAAATCATAGCTCACAAGTTCTTTATTTGTATTTATATTATTTAATTAGTTTATTTATAAAGAATCTCATTCTGTTACCCTGGGTAGAGTGCTATTGTGTCGTCATAATCTCATTCTGTTACCCTGGGTAGAGTGCTATTGTGTTATCATAACTCACAGCAACCTCAGTCTCTTGGGCTCGAGATCCTCTTGCTTCAGCCTCCCTAGTAGTTGGGACTTTAGGCACCCACCAGCATGCCCAGCTAATTTTTCTATTTTTAGTAGAGAAGGGATCTCGCTCTTGCTCAGGCTGGTCTTGAACTCATGAGCTCAAGCAATCTACCTACTTTGGCCTCCCAGAGTGCTAGGAGTATAGGTGTGAGCCTCTGCACCCAGCCATGTAATATTATTTTAGTTTAAAATAAATTCTGACTTGGTAAGATATGAACAGTGAGTTGGTTTCCTTATTTTGAGATGAAAAGTCAGTAACAAAATATGTTAAAACTATTTTCAACCAAATTATGAGTCAAAAAGTTTGATCTTATTTTTGTAGTGCTTTCCAAGAATATTTTTTTAATTTTGTCTAATTTTATGGTGCTGTCTTCCTGCTTTTTTCCAAAGTAAATCAATATCTAAAAAGTAATTTAAAAAACAAAAAATAAAAATTAATTTTAACAGTATGTTAAGAGTTATGCATTAAAGTTGTCCAACAAGTAGGTAGGTAGATGGTTATTGTTGATAATTCTTGGCTTGTATTTGCTTTTATAAGGCAAATAGAAATAACCATAGGATTTAGTTATCATCCTATTTAATGATAAACATTGGCTGTCTATTACTTATTCTTAAACCATTCCTTATATACCCATATCACCAGAAAAAAATGTTATTTGATAATTGTCTTAGTCTGTTTGGGCTTCTATAAGAAAATACCATAAACTGAGCAGCTTATGAACCACAGAAATTTATTTCTCACAGTTCTGGAGGCTGGGAAGTCCAAGATCGAGGTACCATTAGACTCAGTGTTGGGTGAAGACTCATTTCCTGGTTCATAGAATAGTACCTTTTCACTGTGTCCTCATGTGAGAACACTCAGGGGCAAGAGGGATTCTCTCATGGGGACTCTAATCCCATTCATGAGGGCTCCACTTTCCATTGTGATAGAATCATCTCCCAAATTCTACCGCCTACATTTCACTAGTTCAATAAACTAATGTTACTAGTTTTCAACATATGAATTTGGGGGGACCACAAACATTGAGACCATGGCAATAGTTAAAATTAATTCAGCGGTTACCACTTGACAGGCAGCATTCTAAATTCTTTTCACTTGTTTACTCATTGAATTCTCTCAATGTCCATGCAGTGGACACTGTTACGATATTCATTTCACAAAGATTTAAATAGAATGTATTTAAGTAACTTGCCTGAGTCACACAGCTAATAAATGGCAAAACCAGAATTTAAACATCAACATTCTTACTTCTGAGTCCATGTTCCTAAAAGGTGTGGAAAGCCAAATCAGAATGCTTAAATTGTATCACTAGAATAGGGGTAGTTGCAAGATGCGGAAAAAAGCTGAGAGATGGCGAAGGATTTTTTGTTGTTTTGTTTTAAGGAAAATTTGATAAACAATGATTTGAAGGATGATGATTCTAAAACAGCCACACTCAGAAGTGGAATGTGAAATGGTGGTAGTCAGGGGCTGTATGGGGACAGTGGACATAGGAAGGTACTAGTCAAGGGCACTAAATTTTGGTTGTTCAAGATGAATAAGACTTCAAAATCTACTGTACAGTGTGGTGCCTGTGTACTGTATCATATACTTAAAAATTTGCAAAATTATCACAAAAGCAGTAAATAAGAAGGTGGGAGAAAACATTTGGAGGTGATGGATAGGTTGATGGCATAGATTGTGGTGATGGCTGCAGAGACGTATACTTATCCATGAACTGATCAAGTTGTATACATTGAACGTATGTATGGATTTGTATGTTTAAAATATTAAAAATAAATAAAATAAAGGAAATTTATTATGGAGAAATAAAATTAATGTATGATCTTTTGTAAAAAAAAAATTAAGGGAATGTAGTTTACCTTCTTCTCCATTAAAACTGCTTTGTTTATATCCATTCATTCCGTCTTTGCCATGAAATTAATGGCTGTGATCCCTTTTTCTAAAGTTCTGTGACTTCTGTCTTTATAATACCTGCCATGACTGTCATCATTTTGAGAAAACCCTCTTCACATCAATAATGCAACTCTCCAGTAGCTTTCTGACAGCGAACTCTGACTCTCAGCTGTCCAGAAAAAAATATATATATTTTTAAAGACATTTCATTCTCCAGTCTGTAAGTGGGGTTTAAAACACATCTGGGAGGATGTGAGGTTTCTGAACCTTGCTTCACAGTTTGTGAATAAGGTTACTGTTTCCTAAATCACTTTCTTAATTTGTTCTTTTCAGATAGAATGGTAAAAATATTTATTAACAGCTACCAGAAATCTTATGTTTTGTTACACTTATTAGCTTTCTAGGTTTTTGTCTAAATGCTAACAAAATATGCTTGAACTCTGGGCCATTACATATGCTTCTGTTTTATACGTGTCTATTTGTATTTTTCTTCACATAGAGCACATTTAGAAATACAGCTCCTTTCTGAAATAAAGGCAGACTCTATCTAAACTTGTGTGTGTGCATGTATGAAATATATATGAGTAATTTTTATAATTTGTATATTTATTTCTTTCCAAAATTAAACATTATAATTTCATGTATATGTGTATATGTATGTACTTCCAAGTTTTTAGTGGTTTTCCATAAACTTTAGTTCTAAATTCTGCTTTTGAAAATGGCTGAAAATGAAGGCTAATGGCTTTACCAATATTAAACCGTCAAAATAGAAAGCACTGCAAGAATTTTTTATAAGGTACAGCCCAGGCTCGGCCTCTGTAGCTCAAGCAGCTAAGGTGCCAGCCACATACACTGGAGCTGGCAGGTTTGAATCCGGCCTGGGCTTGCCAAACAGCAATGACAACTATAACCAAAAATAGCCTGGCATTGTGGCAGGCACCTGTAGTCCCAGCTACTTGGGAGGCTGAGGCAAGAGGACCACTTAAGCCCAAGAGTTTGAGGTTGCTGTGAGCTGTGACGCCACAAGCACTCTACCCACGGCAACAGCTTGAGACTCTGTCTCAAAAAAAAAAAAAAGTTACAACCCAGTTTGTTAAATTGCTTAATCACAACATGGAAAACAAAAGTTCTTTTCTGTGTAATAATGTTCAAGACTGTTTTCTCCCTAGTTAGGAGACCACATACTTCCTGAGTTTTGCGTTCCTATGCTGAGAAGATGATTCCTTTGCTTAGAATAATATTTGGTAGACTGAAATGTCATTATAAAGCCATTGAGTAAGTGTCTGCAGTGCCAGTAACGTAGTTCCCTTCTGTGTTTTTGGCAGGTGAATATATTGTGATGACGGTTTACTTCCACCTCCGACGGAAGATGGGTTACTTTATGATTCAGACCTACATCCCCTGCATCATGACAGTGATTCTTTCTCAAGTTTCCTTCTGGATAAATAAAGAATCAGTTCCAGCTAGGACTGTATTTGGTAATTCCCAGTCATTTCTTGAGTGTTTTTGTTCACGTTACGTTTTCATCACGATTCGGGAGAATAGCCTTTAGATATTTCTAAGAAAATATTAAATACTACAATACAAGACTGTATGGAAGAAAGAATCATATAGACTTTTGATTTTATTTAGCGTATATGAAGTAGGAAGGCTTGGGGAGATATGGGCTGCCCATCCTTTTTTCTGGGGCCAAGCATCAGACTTCCCCTGTTAGGATCCAAGCAGGCGAAAACCAAGTATAACTCTGGGTTGAATTTCACTTTTGAAGATATTCTTAGGCTCCTGGTGTAATACTGTGTAATTGAATTAAAATTATATCTAGGTGTTAAAATGAAATGCACTGGCAGCTTAAAATAAATAACAATCATGGCTGAATGAATATGAAAGCCTCAGAATAATTTAACTTTTAATGAAGAGGAACAAAATGCAAGGGGCTTAAATGCACTGAATTTGGAGGCATTATGTGCTTAGTGTATAAGCTCATCTATCTATATGCTGTTTTCTTGAGACAACATTTTTTTTGTTTGTTTTTACAGTGGCTTCTCGTAAAAAGGAAACACTCTATACTGTAGTGTGTTTGGAATCATAGGAAGTTCAGAATATATGAGTTTAAAATTTTCATCCTTGTTAATAAGCCTTTTGCATGTCAGTCATGCTTTTAAATGGAAAAATTAGTTGTAATTACAGAAATGAGTATTTAATTCTTTCTCTGTTTTCTGTGAGTGACAAAAGCATTCAGTGGTATGATAAAAAGAAAGATGATTAGAATTGCTTTGGAATGGTGGGAGAGTCCTCGCAGGAGGTGTCAAGTTCCCTTTGCTTTTCTCTCTGGTAGGATCATAGTCATGGTGTTAGATTTCTTATCACACAACAGCTGAAGGGATGCTGGTGAGAAGGAACTGGGGAAGGTGGAAGCGTTTCATTCTAACTCCTCGTCATTTTCAAGAACTGACGATTAGGGTGTCTTCGTGTCTTCAGTGAAACTGAAATACCTCCCTAGGCAACGGGTCTCCCTCTAATCTTAGGTTCACCCAAGAAGATTTGGACTCATACTGGAGAAACTCACAGAGTTGGTTAGTGCTAGAAAAAGAGACTGGTATCAGAAAGGCAGTGAGTGGTTGTCAGGATACGACCACTTCATAGAGTTATGGGGGTTCAATGAAAGAACCATTGAACGCATTGAATAGATTTTAGCTATTAAATATAAGTGTGAAAACGGAAAAGAGAAAACAACAAATGTAAGCTTTGGACGCCAACAAGTTGAGGTTTAAGCCCCAGTCTGCTATTTGTTTTCTTCAGCCATAAAACTGTTAATCCAAATGATAATACATTTCCATGCAGACATGTGAGGATTTACATCTAACTCTCCTTTTTCTCTTCACTTGCAAGGAGAGAATTTGCTGAGTCAGAGATGTGACTAGAGACCATGAGAAAACAAAACCAAATAACATCCGTGTGAATATGAAGAGCAATGTGTGCTCAATTCTCTCCAAAGACCTTCCATCTCAAAGCTGTATGCTTCTAAGTTTTCTAATTATTCCAGTATAGTAAAACATTAAACACAAGTAAATGCCAGCTGGCATGTCTAAATCATTGCTATTTCATTTTCTAAGAGTGGCCAGCCAAAAATTCACTCTTGTGTACCGTCTTAGCCTCCTCTTACACATCCCTCCCAGCTTCTGGGCCAGCCAATATGGTGCATATTCAACATTCTAAATGCAGGTCCTGGCATCACTACTTGGATGTGTCAAAAAAAATTATGGCTTTGAAATGTTTTCAGATAGATGCCGGCTAAGCCATATATGACACATGCACTGTCTTCCTAGGTGCAGAGGAAGTATGCATTCTTACCCTGACGGGTGGGTTTCTGTTCGCTCTTCCAATGGTCTTTATATAAACAAGTCTTCCTCCTAACCAGGTGTAATAAATACGCGTCTGTCACATTAGTGCTTTCTTTGAATTTGAACTCTAGGCAGAGAGAACTTGGTGATGCCTGGAGAGGCGGCAGCTTTTTAACACTTAACCAATTGTTTATGTCAGTTACTTTTCTAATTTTGCCAACGCTCACAGAGTAGCAGGAGGGTCAGTGGTAGTCCCTCAATTTTGGAATCAAGCTGATTCAAAACAATGAATGAGAGATGGAAGGTCGCCACTATCCAGTACTTTTTTTGTGTTGGTGCCCCCAGTATCATTTAAGTCAAGAATGTGGTGATCTATCTTTCCTTAATAATTGGAAAGTAATTTTTGGATTTATGAATCAATAATTTCATTAGCATTCTGCTTATTTGACATTAATAGAAGATGAAGACACTATTTATCTTCAAGAAAATCATTCTATCACCAAAAAAGAAAAAAAACAAAAAATGTTCAAGGGAACATAGGGATTCTAAGTTGCTTTTATTTAGGTTTGCGTATCCTTTTGGTTATCACATCAAACCCTCTGTACCCAGACTTCAATGTTCATATTTCAATTCTAACTACTTTCAGCACAATTTATACAACATTAGTGGGAAAATACTGCTTACATATCTAAGGACGCTGTAGAAAATTTTTGAATTTTTAATAGTCTATCAAATTTAAATTGTTATGAACAAAAAGAAAATTTTGATCAAAATTTCGAATGTTGTAGCTATTTTTTTTTCAAAGTTGTTTTACGGTTTATTCATACCTCTCAACCAGCATGGGAATGGTGCCACTTTTCTGAGATTCAAAATGAAGGCCTAGATATTCTAAGATCTCTTTCTGAAATGATGTCCAATAAATTCACAATGTTGCATTTTAATAGATGTATAGGTATTTATATATTCTACGGAATAAATTCATTGTATAATCTATCTTGAGGCTAATGTTAAAAATATCACAACAATTTTTGAAAATGGAATATGACTAAATGTTCAAATTTCTTTCCCTGCATAGTTTGTGGAATGTGTTTTTAAGTGGTCTTAGTGCATGTGCTGTATGGCTTCTATAATTTTCATATTCTAAGCATTGAAGATTTAGAAGAAGAGTGGAATTCAGAGGAAATGGATTGGTGAGGAACTGGAAACATGACTTTTTATTTCCTGTGTATTTATGGTGTGCCTGGCACTA